AATTTTTTTTAAAAAAAAAAAAAAATTTTTTTGAAATTTTATTTCATAAAAAAAAAAAATTTTTTTTGAAATTTTTTTTTCGAAAAAAAAATTTTTTTGAAAATTTTTTTTCGAAAAAAAAAAAAATTTTTTTTGAATTTTTTTTCGAAAAAAATAAATTAAAAAAATTTTTTTTCGAAAAAAATTTTTTTTTAAAAAAAAAAAAAATTTCAAAAAAAATTTTTCAAAATTTTTTTTGAAAAAACTGATCAATTTTGAATGACCAAAGAATGGACAGGATCAGAAACTCACTGTGCTGGTTGATGACCATGCGTATTGAGATGCGGCTGGTGTAGAATCGGTCCAGGAAGTACTGGATGTTGTGGTCGGTAACGGGGTCCTGCTGCCCAAACGCGTCCTTGAACTCGATGATCCCCTGGGCCATGGTCGGGACCACCTCGTTGTGCCTGTTTCTGATGGTCTCCAAGACCTCCACAAACCTGAGCGAGAAGGTGGAACACAGCGAAAGGTGACGATTACACGTTTGGAAAAATAATTGTTTTACTCTGTAGTTCATTCCTCTCCTGTCGTACTCACGTCTCCAGGACTCTCTGGTCCTCAGGGTTCTTGTCCAGGAACTCCAGGATCTCCATCAGACTCTGGATGTACCTGAAAGATCACAGAGGAGAGAAGAGCTTTAAAAAAAAAAAAAGTGATAACAGTTCCAACACAACAACATGTCAGCGCTGCCAACAAATACTGGGTCGGGTGCCAAAAGTGGATCACAGGTAAAAAAAAACAAAACAAGAATTTTGTTTATATTTAAAACTCAGCTGCGTTTTTGTGTATTTTAGTCAGTTAGAATGCTGTGTATTTATAACATTATTCTAAGAAATAAATTGAATCCAGAACCAGAACCAGAACCAGCAGACCGTGACAAACTGACTGGAGCTCAGTAAACACCGAGGTGAATCTACAGCTAGATCTGGGATCATTGTAACACAGTAGTGGTGGGGGGGTGGGGGGTGGGGGCGTGACAGGAGTGAAACCAGAGAGGACCAGATCAGAGAGGAGAACGTAAACAGTGTCATCCATCACCGCTCCTGACACACTGTAGAGCCCTCCCCCCTCCCCTCACCCCCACCCACACCCCCACACCAGGAGCCCTGTTCCTGACATTCCTCCTCCTCCCAGTAAATAAGGAGCTTTCATCAGTCTGATGGACTGGTCCTGTGACGAGGACTTCCTGTCAGAGCTCTGACCACATGTCTACTGTTAATCAGTCTCTGAGCAGATAACCCTGATTGGTTTGGTTTCTATCCAATCACAGAGAGGAGCAGACTTTGACCTGGGGGCTTCTTATCATAACGTCCCATTCTCCACTGAATGCTTCCCTGCAGCCCCCCCCCCCGCCCCTCCTGTTGTGTACTGTGACTTAAATGTGACAGTATTTTATAGGGAACATCCTAAAGGTCACTGACCTCTGGAGGACACTTACATCACATTATAGTTTCCTTCTGCCGACTTCAGCTCTTTGTCACAAACTCATTTAGTGGGAAACACCAAACACGCACTTTTTTTTTTGAGAATTGACAATTAAATATATGGTATCAGTTATAAAAAATAGAAAGGTGTACAGATCTACTGCCCTGCCTCCAGGATTTATTTTTATCCAACTTAATTTATAACAGTTAACAGTTTATATTATCGTTATTATTGTTCTGCCCACTGCCTCATCTCTCTCTTCTCATTGGCTCCCTCTGGCCACGTCCCACTTTTTTTCTCTCCTTGAAGTGCTTCATAGAAGTACTGGGGAACCACGTTCCTAGAAATCTCACAGAGAACCCACAAAACACACATGCAAAACACCAAGACGGAGCAGAACAAACCAGATGAAACTGGTCAAGTTCTTCTTGTCCTGTTCTGTCATGACAGTCAGTGATCAACAACTTCCTGTTCTTCAGACCACGCTGGTAAAGTGAATTAACCCCAGTTTAACTTAAACTCCTTCTCAGGACTCAGGTTTATCACAGGACAGTGAAGCCTCTGTTTGGAACATCGTGTTCCCTCCAGCTGCAAACGACGCGCAGGCGTGGCGATAAGAAAAACACAGAAGGAGAGAGGCGGAGGCAAGGAAAGGGAACTGGGACAAAGTTCAGGCTCCCATTCTGCTGTCTGTGCCGCCTGTCTGTTGTACAATCATATCTGGTTACATCCTGGTCCACGCTGGACCGCGGGCCGGCTGCTCAGAGCTGCTGCTCAGAGCTGCTGCTCAGAGCTGCTGGATTGGATTTTATTTGTGAAAAAAACAAAACAAAATGTCCTTCTTGGTTGTGTTCTGCAGATGTTTCTTCCTGCTTACATTAAATCACATATTCTGTTGGCTCTAATATGTGTATGTGTGTGTGTGTGTACAGTTCTCACCATGTCTGGACCAGCTGGACGGAGGGCGTGGCCAGCAGTCGGTTTGGCAGCAGGTTGATCTCCTTCATGATGTTGGACAAACGGACGGGCAGCTCCTGACGGAGGAAGACGAAGGACGTGCGCTCGCAGGCGTTGGTGGAGCCTGGAGAGAAGTCAGTGTCACAACATGACAAAGATGGTCTGATGGGTTCACATCGTCTGTGACTGCATGTTCACTGTTACTGCAGGGTTCAAATACGGGTTCATCTTAATCCTAGTCCTGATTTTGAAGTAAAATAAAACAAAATATCTGTCACTTAGAGAGTTTAGAAGCTTTAAAAAAAAAGCAGGACTGCACATACGTCCCCTCACCCCTTCCTCACCCTCCTCCTCCTATCACCATGAACATATCCCTGTCACCACCAACAACAACAACATTCATCATGATGAAACCCCTCCCCCGAACCCCCAACAGTTAAATTACTACTCATTTGAAAAGCACGGAGCAGATTATTGTTAATTTATCTACAATCTCAGTTACACCAGAGCAGAACTCCTGTGAATCTGAACTTATTAATTTTGTTTTTTATAAACAATGGTACGTGTACTGGTTGTGGTACTCAGGCTGTCCTAGATGTCTCCTGTTTACATTAAGTAGGTGAGAAGATAAATACTGCTATTTTATATTCCATTTGCTAATATATGTGCGAGTGTGTGTTTTATTTCCAATATGAAAATCTAACTGTAGTCATACTTTAATATAACGTTTGAGAATTATAGTAATATATTTAGATACATTAATACTATTTAGAAATATATTCAATTCTGATCTGGACAGCATATGTCTAGGTTGCTGTATTTGAATGTTGGTCGTACTTGTGGTACTTGGAGCAACGAGTACTTTTGGACCAGATACGTGGTGTAAAAAGTTGATGAGCCACTAGTATTGAAGTTATATTTGCCCAAATCAGTAAAGTTGAACTCCTGTTATTGTCAGTAGATTTAGTAAAAATCAGAAAATATATCAGAAGGGAACATAGAGTGTATCTAAAATCAAAACAAAACCCTAAACTTAATGATCAAATGTTCTGATCTTCTCCCGTCCAGGACCTGCGGTTTGAAGATGCTGCTCCACTCGGTGTTTATTACAGTTGTTTACGCTTTAGCCGCTGAGCTAAACAACGCAATATATGAACAATTACTGAGTGGAGTCTCGACAGAGTAAAGACTGATTTAAATGTTACTCACCAAAGTCCAGGAACTGCTTCATGGACAGAGGAGAAGGAGAGAACTTGGAGAAGTGCTCGATGTGTTTGGGCACAGTGGCCAGAGCAGCAGTCTTGACCAGGGAGCGGACCAGCTTCATTCGACTCGTCATCTTCGACAGGTCAGTAAAATCTACTCTTTATCGACTTAAAGTATCGTAGCTTCACGGAAATTAAATGTTTAGTCCCGTAGTTATAACAGTTTACTGACAATCTGAACTTTGTTATTGAGCCCGATGTCCACGAGGCTCTTATTTAACACACAGTGTCAGCCAATGAGAGAGAGCGGGGGAGGCCATGAGCCAATCAGATTGCGGAAGCCACCTCCCCTCTGTTATACTATAAGATAGTAAACAAAGTGGTGGTGCGCCTGTGAGGGAGAGAGAGGGGGTGACCCGGTTACATACACTTACAGTACTGTTTTACATAACGTTCCAAGACCCCGCGACAGTAAACACACTGACAGAAAAGTTGTCAATGACACGGCTGTCAGGCATGCATGTCCGCTGACGTCACTCCTGCTCAAGTGACAAAAACATTTCCAATACACTGTGGCTCAAATGATAGAGGACATGCTTGTTTTGTACATGCGGCTCTCCCTCTGCAGTCACGTGATTTAGTATTATTATTATTATTATTATTATTATTATTATTAGCCTAAACGTCTAAAGTCTAAAAGTACAGCAACGTTTCGTATTATTTGCAAGCGGGTTTCCCCGTGTTTTAGATTATCTGACAAACAAATTAACCATTAACGTATCTGAGATAAAAAAACAAAAACAAAAAAACAATGTTGTTAATGTGGAACGACCAGAGAGAAACAGCTCCTCCCTGTGGCACAACTGATGAACTTCAGGTGTTTTTCTTCTCAAGTGTTCCTCTGGTGTTGACATTGTCTACTCTTCAGACCTATAGCCCCTCTGACATAAATGGACACGGTCAGTCCACGAGTTGTTTAGTGATACAGATGATTTTCCATTTTGTCACGGTACAACTGTGGCTCTTCATCCGGGCACGAGGGGGCAGTGGGGGCTGGTTACAAAAATAACATGCGGGATTTTCTGTTTTTTTTTTTGTCCTCCCTGAGACACACCGTCACGTAAACAACACCTACGACGTTATTGTCTAACGTTATGGCGACCTAGTAGTTGGAATATACTCTATATATTTTTTATTTCCTAATCTGGATTTAAATAAGACTTGTTATTAATATTATTGTTTCTGTAGATACCAGGGTGTTGTAGCAATTTAAAAACAACCATATAATATGTCAACATATAAGCAAGTGATTCCAGAGGATCAAACAGGCTGATCTACTCCGTGTGACGTGTACACAAGTATAAATGTGTAATATGTAATATATATAAGTTGTTTACACTCTTTACTGGAAGTTCACTTCAGTAGTGAGTTTCACTATGTGGACATCTTCC